CACATTAATTTCTGTTCTGATCTTTATAATTTCCTCCCTTTCATGAACTTTAGGCTTGACTTGGTCTTCTTTTTGCTAGAAGCTTGAGGTTCAGTATTAGGTTATTTGAACTCGTTCTGTTTTTCTGACATGGGAATTCATCACTAGAAATTTCCTTCTTAGGATTGTTTTCATTGAGTCCTGAGTTTTGGTATGTTGTATTAGCATTATTAAGTGTAGAAACTGTCTAATTTCTTTTTTAAGTTCATCTGTGACCATTGGTTATTCAGGAGGTGTTATTTAATTTCCAATTCCTTATGAAGTTTTTGTGGTTTCTTTTGCCATTGATTTCCAATTTCATTTTGCTATGGTCTCATAATAGGTATGGGATAATTTAAATTCCTTTGCATTTACTTAATTATATTCTATGAGCTAGTATGTGGTCTATTTTGGAGTATGTTCCATGTACAGCTGAGAAGAATGTGTATTTTGTTTCTGTGGGGTGGAACATTTTGCAGAGAGGTATTAAGTCCATTTGTTCAGTTGTTTGGTTCAGTTTTGATATTTGTTGATTTTTTTTTGTCTAGTTGATCTATTTGTGAAAGTGGGGTATTGAGTTCCCCATTACAACTGTATTAGTGCTTACTCGATTTTTTTTTTTTTTTGGTTTTTTTGAGACAGGGTCTCACTATGTAGTTGAGTGCTTACTCGATTTTTAAGGTCGATTAATCTTTATTTTATATAGTTGGGTCTGCTGGTATTTAGTGAATATATATTTATGATTATTATCTCTTCATCTTGGATTGTTTCCTTTTGGAGGATGTAATGTAGTGACTTTCATCTCTCTTGATCAGTCTTGGCTTGAAATCTACTTTGTCTCCAAATAGAATAGCCACCCCTGCCTTTTTTTTTTTTTTTTTTTTTTTTTTTTTTTTGGTTTTTTGAGACAGGGTCTCAGTATGTAGTTGAGACTGACCTGGAACTCACTATGTAGCCCAGGCTGGCCTCAAAGTCACAGCAATCCTCCTGTCTCAGCCTCCTGAGTGCTGGAATTACAGGGGTGCACCACCACGCCTGGCTATGAATTTCTTTTTGAGTTAAATGTGTGTTTTTGTGTATAGCATATTGTTGGATTTTTTTATTGATCCATTCTTCCAGTTTGTTTCTTTTGATTGTTGAATCAAAACCATTTACATTGATAGTTATAACTGATATGTATTGACATCCTTGTCATGTTATTTTCCTGGTGTTGGCTCCCTCTTTTTTGCCTCTATTTAATTATTTACCACTCCTGGTAGATTCATTCCGGTTGGGTTCATGGAATTATTAGTATTCATTATTTCTTTCTAGCATGTCCTCCAGAACATTTTAGAGTGCTGGTTTGGTGGTCATGAATTTCTTCAGGTTTTCCTTGTCATGGATATTGTATTTCTCCATCCATTTTGAAAGATAGTTTTGCAGGGTACATCAGTATGGGTTGAAGCTTGTGTTCTTTTAGGGCTTGAAATACTTTAGGCCAGGATCTCCTTAACGGTTTGTGTTGAGAAATCTTCTGTTATTCTGATGGACTTTCCTTTATATGTGATTTGTTTCTTTTTCTAGCAGCTTCTAATATTCTGTTCTTGTGCTGAATTTCTGGAATGCTGACTAGTATGTGCCTTGCTGTAGATTTCTTTTGATCATCACTACTTGGAATTCTACATGCCTCACTTGTCTATATATCAAATTCTTTTTCCATGCTTGGGAAATTTTATGCCATTATTTTTATGAACAGGTTTTTAAAATGAAAAACTATGGTCACTATTAATTTGCTAACTTTAACTGTATGAACAGGGTTTGTAGTTATATAACAAAAGCTAAAACAAACCAGAAAATTATATACATTAAATATCCCCTCAATGTAGCTATTTTACTCTCAGGGGAGAAAAATTTAAAAGGGGTTAGTGGAAAAATGGAAAAATAGAAGAAGAGATATAGATTAGAAGCAAAGCTAGTGGACACAAGATTATACAAGCTTTGGGAAAGCGGTGAAGACAGGAGGGAAAGGAAGAAGGAAGAAACAGAAACAAGACAACAACAAACCTAGAAACAACATTCACACTCTTATAAAAACAAGAACAAACAATCAAGAGAAAAAAAAGAGCAAAGGCAGAAAAGAAGGAAAAAAGTTCACTTCAGGGCATGTCTCTGCTGTCACTGTTAAACAGAGGGAGCAGACAGAGCCCAGATGCATGCTGATTGATCCCAGGAAGCCAGCAGTGGGTTTATGGCAAGGTGTGCCTTTACTTCCACTGAAATTCAGGCTGCTTCTGGTTTCTGGCTGTGAGGCTGGGACTGAAATTGTTCAGCTGCAACACTCTGGGTGCCTCCTTCCAGCTTGACTTGGCTGCACCTTTCCCTGACACTGGCAGCTGCTAAATGGAGCCAGCCTGCAGTTGTTCTGAGTCCTGAGTTCAGATGGCTCCTTTCCAAAATTGTGACCAGCCAATATCCCTCTCCTGGGGGATGTCTGAATTGGAATAAATCATCAGCCACATGATCCACTGCTCCATTCCTCTGATGTGTTTCTCTGTGGAGGCATCTGGGGTCTCTAGAAGTCATTGTGCATCTGCAGTTTTCAGCTGCCCCTCCCATGTTGTGAGCCTGGGCTCAAGGAGAAAGTGCCACTTGACACCATCCTCTTTTGTGTTGAGGTTTCTCTTTTTGCTTCCCCATGGGCTTCATTTCAATTCTTGCTTCAAATCCTTGCTGGGTCCTGGAGACCCATTTCCCTCCTTCTCTTCCTCACATTGTACTATATTCCCATGTCTGGACTCCAAATCTTGGAGAGGTAATTTCTCTGCTGCTCACTACTCGGCCATCTTCCCAGGGGTCTTCTCCATTGTGGATCTTCATAACACATTTGTCTTCCTTCCATCCAAAAGCCTTTGTGATTTTCCACTGCACATAGGAAAGGTCAACATCAGCAATCAAAACCTCCACCATTGGGTGCTTCCTTCCAAACATTTCTTCTACTTCCTGTTGTGAATCTCTCCCTTTACACAACCATCTCTCACACATACACAGACCCTTCCCATCTTTCCAGCTTTCCCTGTGCTCTTCCAGTCCTCTGCTCCTCCTTTCTTTCCACTCATGCAAGATCAGCCTTGTTTCATATATGGGCTTAGTTCAAGGTAATTTCCCTTCAATGACAATAAGAGTTTTGATTGTCTGGACTCATGCCACAATCATCCTGCATTCTTTATTGTCTTCATCTGCCTGTAATTTGGTTCCAGATGTAGATATGACAATGGAACCATGCCATACTTTACTCTGAGAACAGGGACTCAGTATGCTATTGCTCAATCTAGTAGAGTCTCACAATGTCATAAAGATGACTTTGTCATTAAGAAGTTTTGAAGCTGGGTGCAGTGGCATTTGACTATAATGCCAGCATTTGAGAAGGTTGAGCAAGGAAGATCACAAGTTTGAATCCTGCTTGGGCAACATAGTGAGACCCTATTTCTAAATAAAAAAATAAAAGAGCTGCTAGGGATGTAGCTCAGTGCGAAGGCCCTGGGTTCAATCCCTAGTACCAAAACAGACAAACAAAACAAAACAAAAATTGTATTTCCATAAATTATTTGTAAATAGGAAAAGGAGGAGAGGGTGAAGGGAGGGCAGGGGTATAGGGAAAAAATGAGAACCAAGACCTGTCATATAAAGGTACAAGATCCCAATGATGAATGTAACTGTACTATATACCTAAAAAGTACCAATAAACTCAATGAGAAAAAATTTTTTATTTCCAGCACGACTTAAGGTTTTTTAGATAATTGAAGAAAAGGGGAAAGAGGATTTCTTTTCAAAGATTTTTTTTCTCTCCTGGGCATATTACATTATTTCCAGTGTTAAAAAAAATAATTCCTTTGAGCCCTTTTAAATGACTCACTCATTGAAATGATTCAGTAGTTTAAAAAAACTACTGCGACACTTCCAAAATATAAGAAGGGAGGAGGGAGGATGGAAGGTAGGAAGGAAGGAATATTGGCTTCCCCCTCATATTCTGAAAGAACTAGGGATGTCCGACAAGAGTGAGCTTGTTTATGTGCCCTTGGGACTAAGTAACAGGTTGAAAGGTGTTACAGAGAACACATCTGAAATCCAAAGTTCCTGGGGTTGGGGCAGAGCATGTGTGCTTGATTGGAATATATGGTGGCTGCCTCCCCAGCATATATTTATCTCTCTGGGCTCTATTCTGGTAGCCACTCTTGGTGGGAGCAGGGGGTTCACAGAGCCCAGCCAGCAGGGTTACTTGAGTGCTGCTCCTCAGAAGGGAAGGCTTTGAGTTTGATCACCAAGTAACATCATTGCAGAGCCCTGGACATCTTTATTTGCTTTGTAGTCTCTGCTGTGCTATATAACGGAGCCACCTGGGCACTTTGCTCCCTTCCCCAGCTCCTTCTAGGCCTCCAGGATTGAGACTTCCTCTGTCCTCAGGTTTTACTACCTTTGGTGCAAACCATATTAGTTTTCTATTGCTATGTGATTGATTACCACAAACTTAGTAGTTTAAAACCACATACATGCCTGCTGTCCAGTGTACCAGGAGTGTAGGTGCAGGCCAAGATGACAACATGGTGTTGGTCAGGGCTGCCATTTTGCTGAAATATGGGATTCTCTTCCAAGCTTCCCACTTATTGACAGCACCTCCAGAGCTACCTACCATTCCGTGTTGTGTGGCCTTCTGTACGGGACAGGTTGCTTTTTTAAGACCGTCTCTGGAGATGCTATAAATCATTCTGACTTCTGGGCCTGGGCTCTTTTAAAGAGTTTGCCTAATTAGGCCAGGCCCACCCAGGAAAATCTCCCTTTGTGAGTCAACTGCTTAAGGACCTTGATTATATCTGTAAAAGCTCTTCAGCCAAATAAGGAAATATAATTGCAGACATGACATTATATCATATGTACAGGTCCTGTAAATTCTCAAGGGTGGAGGACTAAACAGGTGTACATACTGGGGACAGGAATCTTGGGGGTCATCTTAAAATTCTGCCTGCCACATTGGTGTGTCCTAGGTCAATGAGTCACTAGCTAGCATGGGTCCTTCCTTGCTTTAGTAGAAATGGAAATTAAAATTAAAGCACAGACTTAGAGGGGAAAGGCTGAAATTGGAAAGTTAGAGGGAACACAGGAAAGGTCCCAAGCCTAGGGAGCAGGAGGGGGCACAGTCTGATCCACTCGCAGAAGCAGAAGCCAGCTTTTCCAGAGGAAGCTGGTGGGCTGGGGTCTGGTCAGTCATTACTCACTCAGTCCTGGAACCATAGGTCCTCATAGCTAAGGGATGGCTCTGTTCCCAGGAAAGGACTGTCCTTCTGGGTGGCCTCAGTTCTAAGGTGTCCATTTCTCCTGGAATCCAGGTGGTCAAAGGTTTAGGACAGTGGCTGGAGGCTTCTGTGTCACTGGAGGTCCCTGAAGATCCCTTATCCTGGGGTCCTGAGTCCTAAAGGGGATGAGGTTCTATAAGCTCAGGGATGAACTACCCTGTCCAGCCAGCTCCTGGACATTACTCCCTAAATGGTCAACACACACCTGGGCAGAGCTGGGCAGAGATCTGATCCAAGGTTTACAGTGACAAAGGATACAGAATGAAGGTCAAGCTTTGCTCTGCTCTTAGTTACCTGTCGCGCATCTGTAGGCTCCAGTGAAGTCATGGTTTGTAGCAAAAATGGCTTTTATGTCCCTGATTGTCCCAGAAGGAAACACAATCATGCTTCTAATGAGTAGCAGGCAAGGCCTGGGGTCCCTGTCCCTACCATGGTCTGTGTTTTTGCTATGAGTGTGTCAAATGGGGCTCAGGCTTAACATTTTGGTAGAATGGGCCCTAGATCACTCCCTTTGCTACTCATGAGCCTTTCTCTTTATGTGGCCTCCTGCTTTCCTCTCTGCCTTCCCACACGTTACCTCTTCTCTTGTCCAGGCCAGGTACAGGTTACCTCTAAGTCGGGGTCGCTTATCTTCCTTTGTGATATTCGTTGTGATCCTCTTCCCTTGTTTCTTCACCACTCTCTTCTCCCAGGCAGAATCAGGCACTGTCTTAGTCCCCGAGACTGGGACGTTTTCAAGGAACAGTGATTTACTGGCTGGAGGCTGGGAAGTCCAAGAACATGGTGCCAGTTTAGACCCAGTGCTGCTTCAATTCATGGCAGAAAGTGGATGCTTCCAAGAGGAAACTCAAGGGATTAGCCTACTCTAAATGTATTTCTCAGACAGCTTCCAAAGTTACATATTCCTGTAACACATTAAGTAGTTGATTCTCAAGAGGGACAGTCCACATCAAAGAGAAGCATCAGCCACTTGGAGGTTATGGTGGTGAGAAGTGACCAGTTTTAAATGCAACCCTAAAGCACACCCTATAGGTCTTTGCCTAGTAGTTTTTTGTTTTTTGTTTTTTTTTTTTTCTTGGTAGCTCTTTAAAAACAAATTAAATACCTTGGATCATCTTGAGGATTTTCTCTTGAAAGAGAGCCAGAGGTATTGTCAAATTATGGAAATGTGTGACTTAGAAGGATTCTCTTAGAGGACTTTTACTTACTTATTTCTTTCTTTCTTTATTTATTTGTTTATTTATTTTTTGGTACTGGGGATCGAACTTGGGTCTTTGCGCTTGCGAGGCAGGAGGCAGAACCACTGAGCTAAATCCCTGGCCCTCTTAGAAGACTTTCTAAAAGTGATAACTCCAATAGCCTCCAATCTACTTTTAAAACAAATCAAAAAATTAACTATGGACATAATGCTAGAGAATGTAGAAAGTGCAGAGGAAATAAGCATTCCCCATAGTCGACACCCATGGAAAACCACTGTTAGTATGACTTGGGAATGGGCTTGAGCTGAACACAATTAGGGAGAGGCTTATTCCTGGAAAAGTGAGTACTGCTGCCTCTCTCTCAGACATCACACTGACAGTGCTGGTGATGCTGGGTAAAGGAGAAGAATAAGTTGTGGAAAGATCCCTTTATTTGACTGGCAGCTAAAAGGAGATAAGCAAATATAAAGTGATTTCCATAGTACTACCCAGTAAAGGGGATGGCTTGTGTAAATTCAAAACCAGGGAAAGGGGCCAACCAGGAAATTCAACTCAATACATATGGAGGCTTCAAATCCAGGAAACCAATAAAAAATGTTGATTTTTAAAAACATCGCCAAGTAAATTATTTGAAACAGTTACTCTCAGAGCTAGTTCAGGTTTCTAATGATTTCCTCCTCTCTCATCCTGGTTTTCTACCTGGCCTCATCTTTCTGGACTTGTTACTACAGTTGATGAGTTTGGAAGGTCTGAAAGCACTGCTACCCCTCCTACCCTCACCTTTTCTACTTGAGCACCATGCTGTATCCTGAGCCTTGCCCTTTCCTTGGTGCTTACTTGCACCTTAGGATGATTTGCTCACTTCCTGAGGCCCTAGGTCCCCCCCTCAGTCTGGGACCTTTGGTCTCTCAGAAATCAAATGCAGCTGTGATGTAACACATGCGTCTGTGATGTCCAGTTGAACTGGTCACCATGGCTCCCTTCAGTGTGGCTCCTCTCCCCTCCGTTTTCTGACATGTGATGAGCTCCATTTTTCTCTTGGATGGTCCCTCTCTCCAGTCATTAGCTGCTGCCCAGGCACAAACCACCTGCCCTATCTTTGCTCAAAATGTGTCCACTCCTAGAGATAAAGAGGCTGTTCTACCAGCCTCCCTGGCATCTCTGACTTGGGTCTCCAAGTGCTGTGTGTTTAAGGTTGGCGAGATGTGTTTTGAGTGTTTACATCCTGGACTTTTTGGGAAGGGAAATACTAAAAGCCATTATTTATTCAAGGGTTATGATATGCCAGGACATGTGTCTTTAAAAAAAAATTAGCAAAAGGAGAAGAAAGCAGGTGAGATCACTAAGGTGCTGTGACTAAAGGTGTTCAAAGGAGCCCTCTCTGCCTTCAGAGTCTTCCTTGGCTCAGCCTTTCCTACTGAATCCTCCAGCAGAAGAGCATGGCACTGGGAAGTCAAGGCTATCACTCTCCCCTGTCAAACACCTCTCTCCCATCTGCACCCTTCAGTGCAAAGGCTTCTGGGAACAGCAACATTCTAAGCAGTTAAGAGCTAACAGCTTCCCAGAGGGTTCTATCTCAAAGGGACATTTGGCGGAAGACAGTGGAAGAGAAAGGTACTTCAGGAATGGGCTGAGGATGAGAGGGAGGAGAGTCTGACCAACTGTAGAAAGAGGCAGCCTCCTGGCAGTGTGTGGGTGCCATGAAGGGAGTCTCACCTTTTCCCAGCCTTTCTTGTGTACCAGGCTCAGCCCTACAGAGGACCCAGAGAACGCTCTTGAGGATCTTCCTGTCTAGGGGTAAAAAGTGCCAGACACATAGTAAAGGCAAGCCCAAGGGTCATGGGGCTTCAGAAGAAAGATGCAAGCTGGACACATAAGAAGGCCTCCTAGAGGGGGTGCCTGTGAGCTGGACTCAGAAGATCACAGGGAGGCTTCCAGAGGCATGAATGGAACTAGAGCTGGTTATGGAGATAGAAAGTCTCAGTCTGAGGCTTGATCTGTGACTCTGACACCTTCAGTAGTAAGAGGACACCAAGGATGACACTTCATCTACTTTAACATTTCCTCCAGTGTTTTCCAGACAGAAACAGGCTGCTGTTTATAGGAAGTTATGGCTAAAGGTTGACTCAGACTTGGATTTGATCAGTGCCTTCTGAGATGGGCCAAAACTCAGCCCCACCATTCTCTGAATCTGTGACTGAGTTCGTGACATACCTTTGGGCCTGGGCCAGGTCTCTGAATTCCCTCAGGTGAATAATGGCACTTCACAGTAGAATGGACAGTATAAAGGCTGGTCACCTGAATTTGCAATTGCCTTGGTGTTAGTTCCTGTCTGCCAGGAGTAGCAGCATGGACATAGACTACATAGACTATGAAGACTATTTGGGCTGACAGAGGTGAGAAGCCTGGAGTGACATGGGGTGGGGAAGAGATAATGAATCGCTTGGTGAGAACCCAAAATGATTGTCAGAAAGGTGTAACTGGGTGATAGAAGGGGAGATGCAATAAGTCTAGATTTCTTTTTCCCTTTGTTGCCATTTTAGAATTGTAGCTTTACCATTGAAGAAGGGATCTAGCAGAATTTTTTTCTCTGGTAGAGAAATGACTACAGAAACTTAAAAACTGTGTGTGTGTGTGTGTGTGTGTGTGTGTTTGATTGTCAGAAAGGTGTAACTGGGTGATAGAAGGGGAGATGCAATAAGTCTAGATTTCTTTTTCCCTTTGTTGCCATTTTAGAATTGTAGCTTTACCATTGAAGAAGGGATCTAGCAGAATTTTTTTCTCTGGTAGAGAAATGACTACAGAAACTTAAAAACTGTGTGTGTGTGTGTGTGTGTGTTTGTGTGTGTGTGTGTGTGTGTGTGTAACTTTAAAGAACAATCTTTATTTAATCCTTGGTGAATCATATACTCTGAACTTTTATTTTTTTAATCCCAGCATAACCAGTATTTTTGAAGATTCTAGTTATTCCCAATGGGCCAAATGTAGCCAGTAATAACTGTAACCTTACAAAGACAAAGCAATCCAATGATACTTAATGAAAAAGAAGCTAATCAATCAGGTCTAGTTAATTAAAGGATGAAGAGCAGAAGATTTAGGCCAGAGAGAGCAGTGGCATATTTTAGATAGCCATATAAAGAAGGAAGGGCAGGCACAATGGGTCAGTCAGAGTAGGGTCAGTTCAGGGCCATCGCCCCTGGCTCTGAGAACCCTTGGGAGAGCAGAGGGACGTGCACTCTCTGCCTTACTTCCTGGAACAAGCTTTCACTTTAGAGGTGTAGACTTGGTATCCAAAATGAACTAAAGCTTGCCCCTCGTAAAGTTAGGCTCAGAAAGGCTAAACTGTCTTAATTTGGAAGGGAAGCATTGTGTCATCTCAGTATTATCCCTGTGAGGGGCAAAAATGACCTTGGAAGAGTGCAAATCTCTGGATATCAGAGACAGGACAAAAATGACAAGCTGTGTCCATAGTGAGAGAAATGTAGCTGAGTACAGTGTGAGAAATTGGTCTTTGGGGATTTCCCCACATAGGCAATAATCCAACTTCCAAACTCCCATCTTCCAAGCTTCGGTCTGCCTCCGGTAAGCTGCCTCTGAAGTCCAGCTTTCTGATGCCCCTCCCAAGCCCAAGCAAAGGAATTCCTTAATACTCATTGTGACAGATGTCTTTGGATCTCCTCGACAGCTTCCATCCAACCTGAAATGGCTGCGTGGACTTCCCTCAGGAGGATTTTCCTTTGTTTTTGTTCACTTTTCTTCACCTCTTTCTCTGTCTTGCCATTTCTCTGATTGCACTTTTCTAGCCTCCAATCGTATTGGTGTCCAACTTGCTTCCTGGCCTACTGCTGTTCTCTCTGAGAGCGATAAGAGGAAAAGTTCTTGATACTGTATTTTTTAAAAACAACAAAATATTACATGAACAGAGATCCCCAAGCATTTGTTATAATAGGAAAGGGAAAGGAGATGGATAAGGAAAAAGCTGTTGTTTGAGGAAGGAAAGGAAATGGGAAATAGACGGTTGCACAGTAGGGAAGATGAAGTCTTCACTAAGATGTCATCCAGCTTTTGGAATTGGTGGGGGACCCAACCAAATAGGTGTGGAGCCCGGAGGAGGGAACGCTGGGCTCCTACAGGACACTCCTGGAAGGTCTGTGGAAGAGGGAACATGGAACTACGCCCAGAGGACAGGAAGGATTTCACTGGGTGCAAGTGGAAATGGAGAGTTTTGTTCCTAGCAGTCCATGAGGCCATCCAGTCACCCCAAATATTCTCCTCCAGTAGCCCATCAGCCTGCCTGAGAGTCCTGAGCCACCAGGAAGTACTGAGCACAGTTTGAATAAAAACCTTTAGATCATTTTTCATAGAAATCCATAAAATGGGTTTTAAGGGGGAATTGATCTTAAGGAGTGCTTGAAAGAGAAGGCAATTCATGACTTCAGTTTAACCTCTTTGGTTTAACCCACATTTTTCTATATATGCTCCTGAGTGCTCTGTGCTTATACCATTAAACCACAACAAATGAGTGGGCTGACAAACAGTCTGTTAGCTTCTGCTAGAGCTTAAGGCTCTAAAAATCACCTTGGTGTTTTTCAAATGTTTTCAATGACCATCTCTTGAGTGAACTGCAAGTAAATCAAAGACTGCTGAGCAGCACTGAGGTTATAACAAGTCAGAAATTCTTCAGCAATTAAGTTCTGGAAGAGCCTTCTCACTGAGGCTCTTCTCTCTTGGGGAAAAGCATGAAAAGCTCCTCATAGCTATGTCTTTGGAAGGGCACAGCCAGGGCTGCAGATGTAGAATGTGAGCCTTTATGACAAAGCATCCTCGAGTACATGGCCCATATTTTCCATTCTCCAGTCAACCCGACCAAATGCCACTTTGGGATCAGCTCCATCAGTTTCCCCCTGTTTCCATTCTCCCCAGAGACTCAATATGTTGAAGCAAACTTGTCAGTTGTGCTCTAGAATCACTTCAGCTTAGCTCAGTGCAATGCCACTCCTCCTTGGTGACCTAGCAGGTTGCATCAGGTGTTGCTTCATTTCTGGCTCAGGATAATCATAATAAGTGGCCTCCTCCAGTCAGGAAGTTTAGAGAGGGAGTCCTTAGGTGTCTGGCAGTCATGCAAGGAAAAGCCAACTTTCCTTTTCCTTGCATTGGATGCTGCACAGGTCTGAGAACCTAGCCAGAGCAAGATCCTCATGCCCTTTCAGTCTTCAGTGCTTTCAAGTAAGGAAACTTGCTTTCTCTGTGTAAATCAGTCATTTCTCAATTGCTAAGAATGCTCCTATCTCACGACCAACTCCAGCAATAAGTGCAGCCAAATCTTTCATCATAAAGCTCTTCATGGTCACATATGATATTTAGGAGAAAGAGGAATTTAGCTTAAATTGGCTAATAAACACACGATCTATTGACCCAAGTCACTCCTAGCCTTCAAGCTTGAAGAATTCCAACTATTTTCACATCAAGTCCTTGAAATGCAAGCCATGATGCAGTTTTAAAAACAAGGGCTGCATCTAGATTGACAAAGATGCAGGTACTTCTGGCTTTACAGCTGTTTAAAGTGCATGAAATCATTCTGCCATTTACATTTCTGTCATTGAATTTCTGCCAGGTTTTCATGCCACATAAGGCAAAAAAGCAAAAGTCACTTTGATTACTTTGTACTTCAGTTCTGGAGTTGGAGAGTTCTGACTGACCAAGGAGGGGTCTTGCCTTTGTCACCTGGGTCCTTCTTAGGTTTTTGATGGGTTTTAAGCTTGGCGACTATATCATAGAGCCGAACAACATGCACAACCATACTGTCAGGGCTATGGCGATGGTGCCTGCTAGGGTTAAACTGCTGGCTTTTGGCACCTCTGCAAAGGCAAAACATGATGTGG